TCTTGCCTTCCTATCTCCATGCAAGTGAGCCAAAAGCCTTTTAACTGCCAGGTGGCCTTTCTACGTGGAACCACGCCACTCTCTAACCTTTCTTCTGTCTTCTCCCTTTGACTGTTAGAAAGAGACTTGTGGCCTCCCAGTGTCCTAACTCTTTGCCTCACCTGGAACTATTTTTACTGTCTTTTTTCCATTTAGTCTTTAGAACATTGAGGTCATTTCCAAAGTTATTAGGATATAGGCTAAATATTCAAGGATTATCATGGTTGGTGATTGCTGAAACATTGAAGGGAAAATGTTAAAGTTGGATTTGCTGGTCACCTCAACAGAATTACCCCTGGATATATTTTGGTTACTTGCTTGCTTTGGGGTAGTATGTGCAAGTGTAGTCCTGCAAAGCACTGAATATGCTCTAGTTTTATGTGTAGTGGCTGATGTCACATAGAACTTTGATTATTTTTTTTTTCAGCAACTTCCACTGTGTATATTGGTGAAGAAGAAAAGCAAGCCTGATACCTCTGTTAAATCTTTGTGAGCCTTTGTTTGTGGCGACAATTTATGTACCCTTTAAAAACAGTATTTCTGAAACCTGACAGTCAAAAGAGACCATGCTGCACTGCAAAAAATAAGTTGAAGGCTGACAGAAACTCCACCTTACTGACAGAAGCCTTACCTTTTGACTGCAGCATTTACGCTGCGGAACATTTGGGAAAGAAGGAGAGCAGAATACTGTTTTGACTTTGCATATGGGGTCTAGCTTGCTGGTACATGGTATTCCCCGAAGGGTTATTCCATGTAGCAGGAGAACCCCCATTACAGTAACATGATATTCTACTCATCTGAGCTCAGGTTCTCAATTTACCATTCTGCCATCATTACTACTAACGTATCTTTCTACTTGTTTGGAATCAGTGTTATGATGTACAACTACTCATGGTAGAAGTGGAATTTAAGATGTATTTAAAAAAAAATATTTGTGGTTAGCTGCTCCATTTTATGCTCTTATTTTTCTCTTGGTTGCTCAGGGTTTGAATGCAGTGTTTGATGCACTGGTGATTAACAAGCTAAATGTTTTGGAGCTTATTCAAAAGTTACTACATAAGGACAAGTCATTGGAGGTGAGTCCTCAGAAGTTTTGTTCATTCTGGCCATTCAGACAGTCATGTACTAAAAGACAAAGATGCAACTTCTGACAGTTTTGTTGTTGTTGAGAATTTAAAAAAAAAAAAAAAGAAGTCTTTTCAGTCAGCCTAGTAAGGCAATGTGCTATGACATCTTTGCAGCAACATCAGTAGTAATGGAATAGCATTAGAATTGCATTGGATAGTGAAATCTATTCCACGCTTCTCTCAACAGTATGTTAAAAATATGGTGTGGAAGACCTGACTGCTTGATGCCACAAGTTCTCCAGGATCAGTAACTATACACATGAAATGGTTGTTTAACACAGTTTGATCAGAGTAAAGAGAGAGAGATTTATTCAGATTCTCAAATGAGATAGTTAGACATTTTTACAAGTACATAAAAAAAATATTATGTCTACTTTGCCAATCCCACTAAAGTATTACACTGGTTTTTTTTCAGAATACAAATTATCAAACAGGAGACAGTTCCTAGTAGCTTGGGAGTTTAAAAGAAAAAATATGTAAGCAGTGATAGTCGCTAAGGATCGAATTTCTGACTTTTGTTGATATCGCTTTATCTAGTATTGGCTCAGGCGGAATCTGGCACCTAGTATTTGCACTGGCAAGCAAACCACAGAAACAGTCAGCCTCAGGTGAATGACTGATAGCCAAATAGACCAACAGCCTACTAGAACATCACTGCTGTTCAACAGCTAAATCATTTGCCTCTCCAACCCAAGGTTCAGCAAGGCAAAGGAATATTCATTGTACATTGCACTGATTGGTGATTTCACTGCAGAGAAGTCTTGCTCACATTTCTGAGTAGCACAAGTCTTAATGGGGCTTTTTAGTTCCTTCACAAAGAATGAAGTGAGGAGCTTTGGGGCGAAGTCATTAAAAGTGGAATCTCTAGAACTGAAACAGTAGATTTAACCAAGAATGGCTAAGTGAGGGGTGCAAGAGTATTTCAGGCAGCAAATAGGAATGCTGGAGAATTTCGTTGTATAATGAAAGTGATGGCAACTAGCATAGGACAAGGAAAGAGTCTAGAGCAGTAGGGGACTAAAGCAAAGCTGGTTCAGAATTAAAGTGATGGAAATAAATGGTAATAAGGAGGACCCTGGGAACTACTGACCAGTCAGTCTCACATCAGTGCCTTTGAAGATCATGGAACAGATCCTCGTGGAAATTATGTCAAAATGTATGAAAAATGGGGAGGTGATTAGAGACAGCCAACATGGCTTCGCCAAGGGCAGATTGTGCCTGACTAATGTGGCGGCCTTCTACAATGGAGTGATGGCATCAGTGTACAAAAGAAGAGCTACTGATGTCATCTACCTGGATTTCTGTAAGGCCTTTGATATGGTCCCCCACAACATTCTTGCTGCTAAAATGGAGAGAGATGGGTTTGACTGATGGACTGTTAGATAGATGAGGAATTGGCTGGATGGCTGCATCCAAAGAATTACAGTCAAAAGCTCAATGTCCAAGTGGAAACCATAACGAGTGGTGTCCCTCAAGGCTCCATACTTGGACCAATACTATTTAATATCTTCATCAATGACATATGGATAGTGGAATTGAGTGCACCCTCAGCAAATTTGCAGATGGCACCAAGCTGAGTAGTGCAGTTGATACTCTTGAGGGAAGGGATGCCATCCAGAGGGACCTTGGCAAGCTTGAGAAGTGGGCCCTTGTGAACCTCATGAAGTTCACCAAGGTCCGGCACCTGCGTCGGGGCACCCCCCGGTATCAATACAGGCTGGGGGATGAAGGGATTGAGAGCAGCCCTGCCGAGAAGGACTTGGGAGAACTGGTGGATGAAAAGCTGGACAATGTGCGCTCGCAGCCAAGAAGGCCAATCGTATCCTGGGCTGCATCAAAAGAAGCGTGGCCAGCAGGTCGAGGGAGGTGATTCTGCGCCTCTACTCTGCTCTTGTGGGACCCCACCTGGAGTACTGCATCCAGCTCTGGGGTCCCCAGCACAAGAAGACATGGATCTGTTAGAGCGGGTCCAGAGGAGGGCACAAAAATGGTCAGAGGGCTGGAACACTTCTCCTATGAAGAAAGGCTGAGAGAGTTGGGATTGTTCAGCCTGGAGAAGAGAAGGCTTTGGGGAGACCTTATTGGTGCCTTTCAGTATATAAAAAGGGCTTATAAGAAAGACAGAGAAAGACTTTTATGAACCCTTGTAGCAACAGAACAAGGGGGCAAGGGGCAATGTTTTGAAACTGAAAGAGAGTAGATTTAGATTGGTTACAAGGAAGAAATTCTTTACGATGAGGGTGGTAAGACACTGGAACAGGTTGCCCAGGGAAGTTGTGGATGCTCCATTATTAGAAGTATTCAAGGTCAGGTTGGACGGGGCTTTGAGCAACCTGATCTAGTGAAAGATGTCCCTGCCCATGGCGGGGGGTGGGGGGTGGGGGTGGACTACATGATCTTTGAAGGTCCCTTCCAACCCAAACCATTCTATGATTCTAGAGTCAAGCCTTTCTGGAGGATTACTTTTTAAGCATGAAGAGCTCAAAGCATTATGCTTCTGTTTTGTGACTTTTAAACAGTTCTGTCTGGGTGAAGAAAACATCAAATGTGCCTTTTTTTCTTCTTCTTTTAATGAAGTAATTAATTCTAGCTCCTGCCACCTACAAAAATCTGTTCTGCTCTTTTCATGGAAGTGTATCTAAGATTTTTTTGTTTTGTTTTGTTGAAAGGCAGATCTTAAATTCTCTTACTTGTAGATTTTTTTTCTTCTCAACTGAGACAGGTTTCAGTTTCATGCCAGGTTTCAGTTAACTCTAAATCAAAGACGATATAATAATAATACTTCTTCCACTTTTTAAATTCTGCCTACTAAGAGATTTTGTGGCGATTTGTGAAATCTGGCCTTTAAGAAGCTGCATGTACTGTTAAATGAAAGGAAGCCTGGGATGAGAGGTTTTGTGTAGTTACTCTGTCATAAAGCAGTTATAAATTGTCACTATAGGGTTTTCCTTCATAGCACAATTCTCTTCCAAAAACAGTTTTTAGGAATAGTTTTCCTATAATCCTCATTGTAGTGACTTTGGTTACTGAGATGTATAAATTGGAAGTAACCATTTAAGCACAAAGGCTAACTTATGTAAAATCAACGTTACAAACTTCTTTATTCTTAGGCATTCAACTAAATATTGTATAATGACACCGTTGTCAACTACAAATATTAAAAACCCATCTGAATATTGCTTTGAAACTTAACTTCTCTGTCATTTTAGAGAATAAATATCTTCAGCCAGGGCACTGTTGGATGTCTGTCTTTGTGCAGTAAGCCTTTTTTTTTTTTTTTTAAGTCTTCAGAAATAACTAATATTGATCTCCTAAATAATTATGGTGGTGCTTGCTAATCAGCATATTGCAATAACAGGTAATAATAATCAGTGTGCCAACTTCTGTGGAGGACATAGAACTGATAATGTATGGGTAGGTTAAAAAACCATCAGGTAGGTTTTTAAAGGTAATAGAAGCATATCAGACTAAGGGAGGAAGGTAGGAATAAAAGAAAACTAATACTGGAGATCACATGACCATATTTTTTTAGGATCCAGTCAACTCTTCCATGTAAAAATCCATAGTTTACCAACACTTTCATCTTCAGATGTGTAGAATGGAAAGGGAAGTGGCCCAAATGATCTCTCATTTCAGAGAAACTCGTCTTCCATCTTCTGCTTCTCTGATGACTTGTTGAGGCCGTGTAGAATAATTTGAGCCATCAGGTTTCAGGCAGCTCTAAGGCAGCCCTTCATTTCCTATCTGAGTTACCATTTCGTAGCTGGGTAGGGTGTTGGAAGCTGGGATTTGCATCTCAAAGCTGTGACAAAGGGATATCGTTATAGTTACTGATAATTCTGTTTCCAGTCTCCGCTGGTGAAGCTTGAAGAACTTCTACAGTATACAGTGTTTTTCTTTTCATTTATGAAACTGATGTGTGCTTGGAGAAAATGTGTTATACTTCATGGGGGGGGGGGAAATTGGAAAGTGTGTCAAATTTAGCTTCTATGACATCACCTCTCTCTGTTTTATGTGAATTGCCTTCTTTAGACCCTAAAGTATATATTATAAAACATGTGATCTAAATCAACTGAGTTAATGTAGATAAAACATAATATTTTGTAGAACTTGGGTAGTTTTAACCTGACTGATGTGATTTGGGTGCCTGTCTGTCGTTAGCTTTTTAATCACGCTAGTGATGGTGAAAATTTTAATTCAGTTTCTCATTCCTCCCAGTTTCTAACTATGCAGTTTTCTTGTTGTATGCAGTCATGTAATTTTACCTCTAAAGAGACTTAAGTGGACAAAAACTTTCAGTGATAAGTTGTCAACTAGATACAGCTATTTAAAACAAAGTTCACGAAGTAACCGTCCTCTATTTTAAAAAGAAAAGATAGGCCAATTTAATATGCCGTATACTAAAGGCTGTATTTTGCTCAAATTCCCTATCAGGAATTGCTGTGTAAAATTACATCAGCTGTAGAGTTACTGAGGATTTTTAGAAGAGAGACTTCTTGAATAAAAAAGTTTTCTGATTGAGAAGGAAATGAAAATGTTTGCAAAAATATTTTGCAGTTAGTCAATGAAAGCATAGTCAAGCGTGAGAGCTTTCTAGTAACTAAAAATAAGAAAAATGTCAACTCTAATAGCAAAAATGCACAGGAATAGCCTCTTCTTTCTGAGATGGTGGTGAAAAGGATGTGAATGTAGTGGGGAAGAGAACAAAATAATGTTTTTATGAGGGGTTTTTTTGTCTTTCTTTCCTGTAGAATGCTGGGCTGTTAAGAAAGGGGCTGCTTTTCAGGATAACTCTTCTGATGTCTGGAGGGGCCAGTATACTTTATATACGCTGGAGGATTATGGGCACAGGGCCACCGGCTTTCACTGAAGTAGACAACCCAGCTTCATTTGCAGACAGTCTGTTTGTGAGAGTAAGTTAAGTTGTTGGTTTTTTCTGGCCAGCTCAGAACATTTGTCTTTGTCATCAAATTGAATTTTCTTTTCTGTGCTTCAAAGAAACAATAAACTGGGCAGTCTTTACGTTTCAAGATGTGTGATGAGTCACCTTCTATTTTGCTGCTGCGATGATTTCTGCAATTTTTTAAAATAGCATACCTTGTATATTCTTTGCATTCAATTTAGCATGCACTGCACACATTGAAGTACATTTCCATTTACTCACTACTTTTCTCTTACATACAAGGATTTAGCTTTTGCTGGGTTTCATCCCTTTTCCACATACTGTGTTTGACTCTTCATCTGTTCTTTCACAACTGAAGAAAATAGCATGAAGTTCTGGTCTAGTGCATTTGGAGTATGTCTTGGCTTTATACCTCTGAGTGCATTAAGGCTCTTTCTGGAGATGGGAAATGAAGGGCAAAGACAGTGGGTGCTGTCTTTTGACATTTTCTCCTATTGTCAGAGATTTTTTTTTTTTTTTGCATGTGGATATTGGTTGGACAGCACAGAATTGCATTTCCCTGCTCTGAATAGGAGAGCCACCTAGCTATGTTTAAAAAAAAAATTAAAAATTAATTTCACAGCTGTAAAATAAATGGCTATGTAACTAGTTGTAGTCTAACAGTATTTAAGGCCTCTTTATTGTATAAGATATATTTTGTGATAAGGGAAACAATAGCAGAGAGAAGAACTAAAATTGGCCCCCCCCTTAAGTTTAGTATCAAATAAATGTTTGTTTTCTTTTTGACTGACAGGCTATAAACTATAATTACTACTATTCATTGAATGCATGGTTGCTGTTGTGTCCCTGGTGGCTGTGTTTTGATTGGTCAATGGGCTGCATACCCCTCATTAAATCTGTCAGCGACTGGAGGATAATTGCACTAGTAGCACTTTGGTTCTGCCTAATTGGTCTGATATGCCAAGCTCTGTGCTCAGAAGACAGCCATAAGAGAAGGTAAGAGACAGTGGTGAATTTTAAATGCCCGGCCAACTTGAGTACAGTATTATTTTGTTAAATCCACTACTGATAATTTTAACAATTCAGTGGAACCAGTGTCTAGCAAATGCAGTTCAAATAAATATTTATAGCGGTCATTACAGTTTTATCCCAATTTGGGCCCATCACTGTACACTGACTAGTGGGAAACAGAGTTGGAGGAGGACGTATGGATGGCTGCTTTATTTTTCTCCTGAAATGGCATTTTGAGATCTTTAACACTGTAGGTGGTAAAAAGTAATCTGTGCTCAGAACAGAGTAGGAGTTGATGTATGTTGTTGCCCCTACTTCTTACAAGTCATCATCTCCTTTGATCTGCTCCTAAAAATGAAAGAGAGAGGTACCTTGAAAGGAGGTAGAAATGCTGGCCATGGCCATGCAATTAAAAAATAAAATGCTGACCCATAGTATCTACTGAGGAAACAACTTGTACTTTACCCAAAGGAACTCAAAAAATTTATCATTAGTCTCACTAAGGGCTTCTGTTTAACTTTTCAGGGTCTGTTCCAATGGATTTTATGTATAATTAATTTCTCAGTTCTTTAAAATTTTTCAACAGCTCTGTCACAACGAGGTCATTCTGTTAAGAGTGCTGGATATTTTCTTTTCTGTGGTATTCTGTAATTTCATCTCTTCCCCCCTCGTCCCCTCAAATGTTTACATCCCACCTGCCTTCTTTTCCTCTGTTCCCATACTCATTTGCACAGATAAAATAATTTTGGAGAGGGGTGGAATTCTTGCTACAAGTGATGTCATACTTTCTGGTAAAAACACACCCACTAAGCCTGTATTGCTGAACAGTTTTTTAGTAAAAAGTAAAGGCAAAAAGTATAGTGAAGGCCTAGGACTCTTGGGGAGGAGAAAAGAGTAAGCGGACACATCTGCATTACAGTATAGAGATTTATTTGTAATAAATTAGAGTAGAAAACTACCATGCCTGTGACCTTTATAACAAACACCTGACACAGACCTGGGATTCATATTCCGTTATGTCAGCTCTGTAAAAGTAAGGTACCTAGTCTTGGTTGTCTAAGCTCTGTATAGTGCATAGGTACCTGCTGAGGATTACTCATGCTAACACAGATACCTAACACAAGGAAGGCGAACTGCCCTCAAGAAGTGCCTCTCTGCTGACTGTAGAAAAAGTGTAGATGACTAGCTTTCAGGTGGTTAAGCACAATGGATTCTACTATTGATGTATTTGTTAGGAAAGAAAACACTCTCTCAGTAGGACGTGTACCTAAATTTTTTTCTTTAATGGTTACCTATATTTTTCCCCTGTTACTGACTTACTAGTTCCAAAAATAGACTGGTAACTTTTACCATTATTTTTCCTGCCTGTGCATTTTAAATAGGAATTATGTAATTAATGTGTAATGGGGCTCTTTTCTGGCCTGGAAGCATGAACATTGCTTTTCTGGGAATTACAGCTAGGATTTTAAAAGTGCCTGATGGACTGAAGTGTCAACTGAAACTTAATCTGATTTTGTTATGTAGCTCTCAAAGGCTGCTTTTGAATGCCCTGTTCCATACGCACATCCTTCTACAATGTTTAAATAAAGCTTCTATGTTAAGTGGAAAAGGTACTTTTGTTAAGATTTGTGGTTAATTTGAGAATCTGTTTCTTGTTTGCAGAATTCTTACACTGGGACTTGGATTTCTTATTATCCCTTTTCTTCCTGCAAGTAACCTGTTCTTCCGAGTAGGATTTGTTATTGCAGAGAGAGTCATCTACCTCCCCAGTATTGGATATTGTGTTCTGTTTACATATGGATTTAGTCTCTTGAGTAAGCAAGCCAAGAAAAAGGTACCATCAAAACAGTCAGTAAAGTTGATGATGAAGCGCTTCAATTGAATGGTTTGTTTCTTAACTTGTCTCTC